AAGAGGACGCGGGAAGCAGCCATGGCTGAGGTCGGAGAGTCTGGGGCTTGGCTGCCATCATTCTCCCAGGCGAGGACGTGCCTGCTGAGAGTCTGGATCGTAGGAGGGCGTTCGGAAAGCGGGTTGTGGATACCTGCCTGGGCTTTTGATTTGAGCCCTGGCTTCGGCCTTACTTCCGTTTCCCTCCCCCCCCCCCCCCAAGGACGGCTTCAGTCGTTCTTGGAGTTGGCGGGGTTTGGACCTTAACTTTGAGAAATCTACTGCGTGTAAGCACGGTTGTCCTGCAGAGGGATCTCTTCAGAGCGTGTGAGCTAGAGGGTGGGGGAATGAGGGCTTGGAGATGCTGAGGTGTGGTCCTTACCCACGTGACACATTGGAGGTAAGTCCGCTTTATTAATTATGCTAAGCTTTTATAATCCAGAAGTTTAGGCTTTGGTAGGGTCGGTCTCCCATTGACTGAATTAAATGCTCTTGTATTGAACTCCTTCTAAGTACCCTTTACGGAAACCAGTCCTTATTCTTTAGGAACTCCTAACAGGACTGGTGGGAGAGAGGGGAGAAAACGTRAGTGGATGAGGTGGCAGGGGATGCGTGCTGTGGTGGAAGAAAACGAGAGTCAGAGAAAGGTTTGACTGGGGGAAATAGAAAAGGKGACATTTGAGTAATCCTAAAATCAAACTTAGGGATTCTCCCCATTGAATGGAATAATGGAAGGCACTCCAGTGTAGCAGAGTGTACRTACAGACCAGAGAAATTAGGAAGATTTACCTGTTGGTTATGGCTGGAGCAAAGCTTGAATTCCATGTTAGGAGTCTTTCTGGATCTTAAAACACAACGTAAGTTCCACAAGATAGTATTCACATGCTTCTGTAATTCAGAGGAAGGACAGATACTTCCTTTTGGATGATGGCTTTATGCAAAGTGTCATTTTGGAGGGTCACAAACTGGAGAGGTGGGATTGCTGTATGGGAAGGATTTCTACTAAGGGAAATAAGAACTTCCTGCATGGAAGGCACAAGGTCAAAYAGCRGATTTAAGAAGAGTATGGGTTGGGTAGACTGTAAAGTACATGTTAGGGTTATGGTATTAAAGATACATCTAGGTCTGTTTTGTTTTGGTTTGGGTGCTGGGGATTGAACTCAGGGCTTCATGCGTGGGTCAGTATTGAAACATGGAGAATGCTAAGCATAGCAGTTTGGGTTTTATTTCTTGGACCATGGGGAATAATTGRATGCTTGAGAGTAATGAAATAATCACACCCCCATATTTTAAGGTTAGTGAGGGTGTATGTTGGATGGGAGAAAAGCTGGAGGCAGTCTGGTCTAGTAGAAGGAACAAAAATCAGGCAGTCATGGGCTGGGGTTGTAGCTCATTGGTAGAGTGCTTGCCTACCACAGGTGAAGCACTGGGTTTGATCCCAGCATCACATAAAAATCAATCAATCAATCAATCAATAAATAAAGTTATTGTGTCCATCTACAATTAAAAATATATATGATTCAGAGCTCAGGATTCCTCATAGATTTAATGATTTTAGGCAGATTTATTTAAATTAAGCTCTCAGTTCCCCCTCCCCACCATTTCTGACATATTTGTTACACTTGTAAGGGATGAAGAGCTAGCCCATGTTTAACAGGAACCTAGTTAGTTTCTGTCTCCTTATAGGGTTTAGTTGTTGAAAGACGAACATAGATCAAAAGCTGTCAATTTTTAATTATGGAATATCAGTCTATTGACATTTTACAGACAGGAAGTAAGTATATGATCACTCCAGAATTGTAATTCACATATTGACCATATGATGTCAAATGTGTGGAGAAAGTGACTTTGTGATACTGGTATTTTTCTAKGTAAGCAATAGTATACAACCAGAATATATCACTTGGAATAAACTAAGTGTAGTCAGCTTTCTCATTCAGAAATTCATTATTCACGTTGTAGATTACTCAGGATTTGCCTTGCTTTATCTTGCCAATGGCCTCCCACATTAGTGAAGGATAGGAACCTGGATGCTATTAGTAGAAAAATAAATCTGATAGTCAGGCCCAGTTTCTCTCTGATGTTAATTTGCTGTAGACTTTTGGCAAATCATAGCCTGAGTCTTGGATTCTTAAATTAGAAGATTCTTGTATAAAAATTTTGTGACTGTATTTTTGTTTGTTTTAGAGAGAGGGTTGACCTCTAATTCCTGACCTCAAGTGATTGGAATTCCTGCCTTAGCCTCTCAGGTAGCTGGGACCACATGCATGTGTCACCATGTCCAAAAGCATTGTGATTTTTATCTTTCCTGGTAGAATTATAAATTGAATTTTATATTAAATGAAYTGGACTTTATAATTTTCTTTTTGGTACCGGGGATTGAACTCAGGGGTACTTGACCACTGAGCCACATCCCTATCTCTATTTTGTATTTTATTTAGAGACAGGGTCTCACTGAGTTGCTTAGTGCCTCGCAGTTGCTGAGGCTGGCTTTGAACTTGTGATCCTCCTGCCTCAGCCTTCTGAGCTACTGGGATTACAGGGGTGGGCYGCAGTGCCCGGCTTGGACTTTATAATTTAGTAAGAAAGTCTTTTCTAAAGCTTCTGCTTTAGAACTATAAATTCTATAGATTTTTTTTTTTTTTTTTGGTACCGGGGATTGAACTCAGGGGTACTTGACCACTGAGCCACATCCCTATCTCTATTTTGTATTTTATTTAGAGACAGGGTCTCACTGAGTTGCTTAGTGCCTCGCAGTTGCTGAGGCTGGCTTTGAACTTGTGATCCTCCTGCCTCAGCCTTCTGAGCTACTGGGATTACAGGGGTGGGCCTCAGTGCCCGGCTTGGACTTTATAATTTAGTAAGAAAGTCTTTTCTAAAGCTTCTGCTTTAGAACTATAAATTCTATAAATTTTTTTTTTTTTTTGGTGCCGGGGATTGAACTCAGGGGTACTTGACCACTGAGCCACATCCCTATCTCTATTTTGTATTTTATTTAGAGACAGGGTCTCACTGAGTTGCTTAGTGCCTCGCAGTTGCTGAGGCTGGCTTTGAACTTGTGATCCTCCTGCCTCAGCCTTCTGAGCTACTGGGATTACAGGGGTGGGCCGCAGTGCCCGGCTTGGACTTTATAATTTAGTAAGAAAGTCTTTTCTAAAGCTTCTGCTTTAGAACTATAAATTCTATAGATTTTTTTTTTTTTTTTTGGTCCCGGGGATTGAACTCATGGGCATTTAACCGCTGAACCACATCCCCATCCTTTTTTTGTAATTTATTCAAAGACAGGGTCTCAATGAGTTGCTTAGGGCCTCGATAAATTGCTGAGACTGGTTTTGAACTCAGTGATCTTCTATCTCAACCTCCCAAGCTGCTGGAATTACAGGCATGTGTCACCACACCCGGCTTATAAATTCTTAACAAACATCCCTGAGATTTTATCATGCATGGAGTCAGGGCTCTTTTAAACAAAACAAAACCAAAAAAAAAAGTGTTTCTGAATGGTAAATGCTTCTCTACTTTCCTCTGCTTCAAAATAAAAAAGTTCCCCCCCAAAACAAAACTTGGTCAAGTTTGCATTTTTGTACAGCAGAGTTACTGAAAGCATAGTAAAGATAAAATATTGGAATCCCATGATTGAAAAATATCTAAAAAGAAACTTGTTTTTCATAGGTAAACCTAAGTTTTCTTGGATGTGTAGAGGGCATTCAGCTGCTTTTAGGTAATACAAGGTGAAATGTAGTGATGCAATGATGAGCGAAGTATAGACTGACCTGGTATTGCCATTGCTTTAATGTTGGCTTTGACCAGGGTATGATCCCTTAATCTTCTCTCTGAGCTGATTCTGGTTRTGGTTTTAGAACACACATGTTCTAGCTTGTTTGGATACTGGTGTTATTATGTATAAGTTTGTTTTTGATAAATGTTTGAATTATTGATACTTTCATATTTCTCTTCTTMGGTTGAGGTGGAAAATCTGGCTTTGAAATCTTCGTGAAGGACTGCATCATTTCAATCCTGAATCTGAATCAGTTCCCTTATTGACTGTATGAAAAATGTTTTCATTAACTGTGTTATTTGTTTGGTAAAACCTTTGAGGTTTTATAAATTAAAAAAAA